TTTTTTTTTTTTTTTTTTTTTTTTTTTTGGTGAGGGCAGAGCCCTCATGACTTATTCACTTCCCAAAAGGCCTCACCTCTTAGTACAATCACATTGGATATTAGATTCCAACATGAATTTGGGTGGGACACCAACACTTATGCTATAGCAGGTCTAGGGTTTTTGCAAAGATGAGAGAGACTTGACTGTGCTTAAATGCAATAAGTAGATGCCAGTAATGAAGGAGGTGAAAATACAGGAGAGAATAATTGAGAGGGCTAAGTCCCCGACAAGGTGGGTTTAAGTGTGTTTTTTAAACGTGTCTGCCCTCTGCCTGAGTTTATAAGGAACACACTGCAGAAATGTAGTGCGATATCATTTTAACAGTGTAGAATAGCTGTTGTAGTTGTGAACAATTTCAATTATAGGAGAAAGGGGGTATATTACTACAACTTAAGCCAGTCAATAAACTGTTCACTAACTTCTATTCAGAATAAATCTGGTGCAGAAAATGGAAGAATCATCCTGCAACTATCATTCTTAACTATATAGGTTGCTGTGTTTTCTCTGGAAAGCTTTGGAGTAATTTTTTCCTAATGTAACTGTTAAGTATTTAAACTGATTTATATATTATTTTACTGAGATAATCAATACTGGTTGTTAAAAATGATGGCAAATTAGACATTCAAAATGTTAAAGTCTGTCTTTATAGGACTGAATAAGGGTAGAGATTTCTGTTTAGTACTATATTTACTAGTTTGGATTATATTTACCTTGTACAGTCATTTATTTGTCTCCCCTTTAATGAGGGTAAGAAATAGGTAATATAGGGCTAAAGCTGTATTGAATATTTGTCTGAACTGATGGGTGGTGCCCTCAAGTTACTGTAAAGGTGAATGGTCATAACTCATTCTGGTGGTGGTGTAAAGTTTAAGGTTTTTTTTTTTTTTTTTTCCTTCTCTCTTTTAGGTTTTACACTTGTGATTTGTCCATTGGTCTCTCTTATGGAAGACCAATTAATGGTTTTAAAACAATTAGGAATTTCAGCTACCACGTTAAATGCTTCTAGTTCAAAGGTATGCTTCTGTGTCTTTTTTAATTTTTATTTTTTAAAATTTAAATTCTACACTGAAGTAGGAACCTTAGCTGCAGTTGAGTTGCTTATGAAATTTTAAACTGTTAACTATTTATATCAGCAGTTGCAAACTACTGCTCATGGGCCAGTTCTGATCTACTGCCTATTTTTGTATATCCCATGAGCTAAGAATGGTTTTTATATTTTTAAATGGTTAAAAAAAACCCCAAGAGTATTTTGTGAAGTGTGAAAATTATATAAAATTCAGATGTCAGTGTCTGTGAGTAAAGTTGTATTGGAAACAACCATGCTCATTCATTTATGCATTGTCTATGGCAGCTTTCACACTGTAACAGCAGAGTTGAGTAGTTGTGATAGAGACCATATGACCCACGAAACCTAATATTTACTGTGTGTCACTTTACAGGAAATGTTTGCTGACCTGCTTTTTATTATCCATCTTAAAATAATAAAAAATAATTTCTAATTATGCAATTTAATTAAATACAAAAAATAAATTACTAAGAAGATACTCTGTACCTGTGGAATTTTTTCTGTTTGAGAATGGACTGTCTTACCTTCATCTGTAGAATAAAGCATTTCCCAGCTATTCCTTTCTTAAAAGCATATTATTGAAATCTTCAAAAGTATAGAGAATAATATAAAAAGTAGAGAGAATAATATAAAAACTGCCATGTACCAATTAACACCTGCAACAGTTATCAACAGATGGCCAATTTTTTTTCGTCTGTATATCCCCAGTTTTCCATCTTCCCTCCCCCTTGCTTTATTTATTTGAATTAAATCCCAGATGTTATATTTTAGTTAGAAATTCTTCAGTATGTATCTCTAACTTTAAAAAAAAGTGCATTGACATCATCACATTTAAAAAATTTAGTATCGGGCCAGCCCGGTGGCGCACTGGAGAGTGCGCCGCTTGGGAGTGCGGAGGCGCTCCCGCTGAGGGTTCGGATCCCATGTGGAGACCGGTTCCCGCTCACTGGCTGAGCGCGGTGCGGGTGTGACACCGAGGGTTGCGATCCCGTTGCCGGTCCCCAGTACAGGCGCAACACCAAGGGTTGCGATCCCATTACCGGTCAGTAAAAAAAGACAAAAAGGAAAAAAAAAAGCTAAAAAATTTAGTATCAATTCCTTAATCATCAAATAAATGTATTCAGATTTCTCTCTCATTACTTTTTATGTTTTTGTTGGAGAGAGAAAAAAAGAACATGTATCTTAGAGTGTCTCTAGGAGTTAACAAACTGCTTCTTTGCTGGGACAATGAAAGCAGTCTCTTTCTATACCATTCACCATTGTTTTTTAATACTTTTTTGGTCTTAATTAGGTTAGAAGGAAAAAAATGACATAATAATGTATAAAATAGTATCAGAATACTAAGAGCCTACTGTTATCTAAGATTTATTTTTATTATATATAAATACATATTTTATTAGAAAATTTTTTTTTTTTTTTTTTTTTTTTTTGGTGGCTGGCTGGTATGGGGATCCAAACCCATGACTTTGGTGTTATAAGGATGTGCTATATTAGAAAATCTTAATTTAATGAATGTTACTATATAAAACCCATGGTCTTTATATTTAAATAAAGATTATAAACAGATTTGATGGCATCATTAAAACAGCTGATAAAGAATAAATTTTGTTCACAGATATATAAAGTGATACTTATTTAAATAAAGATTATAAACAGATTTGATGGCATCATTAAAACAGCTGATAAAGAATAAAGTTTGTTCACAGATATATAAAGTGATTATAAACAAAATGCTAAAATTATAAAACCCACCTTTAACAACCATAGCTATTGCTTTTAGCTCACATGTTGGAATTTATTGTGAACAATTTAGAATTTTGCCTTCATACAATAAATGTTCTTTATTAGAGTATCTTCATGTTCATTTTTTTGTTCTCTTTTTTGTCAAACGAGATTATTTTTTATCATCAACAATTTGGATGTAAGTAAATAACTAGAATGTTTACACAGCTGCCATGAAGTTTACTAGGACATGGTTTCAATTTTAATGTTCTTAAACATCTGCTTCTAGAAGAGCCCAAGGCTGCTGTTTTTGAGTAATGAATGTCTTCATTTACCACTTAGTATTGCAATCTGCTGGCTTAGTTCTGCCATCATTGTGTCTATTTTGTCTTTTAATAGGAGCATGTAAAATGGGTTCATACTGAAATGGTAAATAAAAACTCTCAGTTAAAGCTAATTTATGTGACTCCAGAGAAAATTGCAAAAAGCAAAATGTTTATGTCAAGACTAGAGAAAGCCTATGAAGCAAGGAGATTTACTCGAATTGCTGTGGATGAAGTTCACTGCTGTAGTCAGTGGGGACATGATTTCAGACCTGGTATGTATGTTTTATCTAGAAAACTCTTTGATGTTAGGGACTATGTTCTTAATTAGGTTCACGTGATGTAAATCCGTGCTTCCATTAAAATAGTTCTCTGAGAGTTATTAGATATTTTCTCTTGCATTAATATGAGGGGGGCCAAGAGGCAGAATCTTTAATCTCTTCTTCTCCACTGTAGTGTTTAGTCTATTTGCCTTTAACCTTTGCCAATATTATCCCATCTCTGTGGCATTTACGACCTCTAGGTAGTCCCTCACGTTTGTCGAGGAATTTACATTTGCTTCAAAGTTGTCTTCTTCACTCATCATTCTGGGTGTCTTTCAGGGTTAAGGTTCTATGAGGTATTTTAATAACTTTTCTTCATTCCACCAACCTAATCCTACAGTTAGCCTGAAGTACACATTAGTTCACCACTTTTTCTCCTCCCACCTCCCTCGCCTCTGGTAACCATTATTCTACTCTCTATTTCTATGAGTACCCCCCCCCCTTTTTTTTTTGATTCCACATATGAGTGATATCATGTGCTATTTATCTTTTTGTGCCTGAATTACTTCACTTAACATGATGGTTTCCAATTTCATCCACGTTGCTGTATATGATAGGATATCATTTTTTTTTAATAGCTGAACGGTATTCCATTGTATATATGTATATATACCACAGTTTTTTAATCCATCCATCTGTTGATAGACGTTTAAGTTGATTCCATCTCTTGGCTGTTGTGAATAGTGTTGTGATGAACATGGGAGTGCAGGTGTTTTTTTGATATATTGATTTCATTTCCGTTGGGTATATACCCAGGAGTGGGATAGCTGGGTTGTAAGGTAGATCTATTTTTAGTTCTCTGAGGAATCTCCATACTGTTTTCCCCAGTGGCTGTACCAGTCTACACTCCCACCAGCAATGTAGGAGGGCTCCCTTTTCTCCACATCCTTGCCAGCATTTGTTATTTTAACTTGTTGGTAATAGCCATTCTAACTGGACTGAGGTGATATCACTCTGGTGTTAAGTTGCATTTCCCTGATGATTAGTGATGTTGAGCATTTTTTTCAGGTGTCTGTTGGCCATTTGTATGTCTTTTGAGAAATATCTGTTCAGGTCCTTTGCCCATTTTTTAACTGGGTTGTTTATTTTTGCTGTTGAGTTATTTAAGTTCCTTATATATTCTGGATATTAGCCCCTTGTGTGATGTATAGTTGGCAAACACTTTCTCCCATTCTGTAGGTTGTCTCCACTTTGCTGATAGTGTCCCTTGCTGTGCAGAAGCTTTTTAGTTTGATGTAGTCCCATTTGCTTATTTTTGCTTTAGTTGCCTGAGCCTTTGTGGTCTTGTTTAAAAATAAAAGTAAAAATAAAAACAAATTAAAAAAAAAGCCCTGGTTACTCCCATTTCATGTAGGGTTTCCCCTATGTTTTCTTATAGTAGTTTCATTGTTTCTAGTCTTAAATTTAGGTCTTTAATCCATTCTGAGTTGATTTTTGTGTATGGTGAGAGAGAGGAATTTAGTTTCAACTGGTCTCCCTTTCTTCAGTCTTGCCTTGTTCCAGCCTATCCTTTGCACTACCACACCAAAAAGTGATTTCTGAAACATAAGTCTATCTCCTTTGTCTGCTTGAAAAATTACATGATGATTCCTTATTTCCTATAGGATAAAGTCCTAGCTTCTTAGAATCAACTGACTATATGATTATTGTTCATAGTTTTATTTAAACCTGCCTTTCTGTACCCTTCTACATAACGGTATCAGTCAGGCTTCATGCAGGGAAGAATAGTTACTGTGAATGTTATGGGAATGCTATGGAGGGATTTATCCTAGGAAGTAGACTTAGCAGAGTTGTGGAAGGATGGAGAAATGAAGGTCTGAAGGGGAGAATTGAAGGGCTAAAGAAAAGTTACTGTCTAATCCCAAAGCACTGGTGGAGGAGGATAAACAGGAGCTTGTAGGGGAATGTACAACTGGCATGTCTAGTGCCAAAGGGGACCACAAAAGGGAAGCTCACGGAAAGGTCTCTGGTAAGCCATTTCCTCTGAGTAGCTGTTACTTCTGTGGGTCTGTTGTCAAGCCTCTCATGGGTCCAGTGATGATCATCAGGGCCTGCTGTCGGGATGAAGTGCTGAATGAAAAATGGAAAAGAACTAGGATGAGCTAGACTGGGCACTTCTGCATTTGTCCATCAACCTATCTGCCTGGAAAGACCATCAAAAAGTAATGGCAGCTGGTTCACTTCTGCCTCCCAAATCTTTGACAAGTTCCTCTTTTGGGTCAGCTCTGACTTGGAACCATACAGGGAAGGGGATTCTGGGAAATACAGTTCCCAGCTTAATGGATTGGACAATAGATCCATCCAGCACAATAGCCTGTGAACTGCTTGTTGCTATCTGAACATGCTGAGTTAAGGTTTTTTTCTTTTTTTTTTTTTTAAATATCTTTTTATTTTGTCAATATACAGTGTGGTTGATCATTGTGGCCCATTACCGAAACCTCCCTCCCCCTCCCCCTCCCCCCCCAACAACCTCATATCTGTTCACTTATCGTATCAACTTCAAGGAATTGTAATTGTTGTGTCTTCTTCCCTCCCCCCCAGTTTATTTGTGTATTTATTTATTTTTAGCTCCCACAAATAAGTGAGAACATATGATATTTCTCTTTCTGTGCCTGACTCGTTTCACTTAATATAATTCTCTCTAGGTCTATTCATGTTGCTGCAAATGGCAGTATTTCATTCTTTTTTATAGCAGCGTAGTATTCCATTGTGTAGATATACCACATTTTCCATGTCTACTCATCTGATGATAGACATTTGGGCTGGTTCCAACTCTTAGCTATTGTAAATAGTGCTGCAATGAACGTTGGAGAGCAGGTATACATTCGACTTGATGATTTCCATTCCTCTGGGTATAGGAAGGGAAGAAGATCAGGCAGATGAAGCAGCATATACACTGCAAATACACTGGCATTAAATTGCTCAGGATGTTAAATCAGCTTAACATTCCCTTCCTAGTGAACTTCTGCTCGTTTTTTGAGACCCAACTCAAATGTTATCTCTGAAATCTTCCCAACTTCCCAAGCAATTGCTTTCTCCTAGGTTTTCATAGTAGTCCTCTACCTTATTTGCATTTAGCACTTTCTCCCACATTTCTTTCTCACCTTCCTCCAGATAGTTTAAGTACTTAACAGAGGTTAAGGACAGTTTATCTAATGATTTAGATGTATATGACAAGTGTGAGCCCAGAATGGTTTCCCTGAAATAGGAAATATATGATATAAAAAATATATAAATATTAATAAATACTTCATATTTAATATAAAATATATAAAAAGCAATGCCTTCACCAAGCCTTTTCTGGCCTGAACTTGTCATTCTTGGATAATATTAGGTGATAGAAGGGCTTTGACTGATGGTCTCTTTTATCTTTTGAAAGTTGTAGTAGATTCAAACACTACAGCTATTCCTACTGTCTCTTGAATCCACTGTTCAGGTGTAGACCAATACATAGCTCGATAGAATGTTTAGTGTTCTCTCTCTTCAACAGGGAGTTCCACCTCTGGTCAAGAACAATGTTTCTGAAGAAAAATATAAATAAAGGCTGCCTATTTAAAAGGGCTAGGAGGCAACTGCAAATTTGCTGTTACAGATAGCTATGGAAATAAAATTATAGTAGTCATTGGTTATCTGCATAATGTTAAAAGGTGTAATTTAATCCTTGAAGGATAGAAAGAGGGCCACTTTGTTTTTTTTTTTTTTTCCAGATTATAAAGCACTTGGTATCCTAAAGCGGCAGTTCCCTAACACATCCCTAATTGGGCTGACTGCAACTGCAACAAATCATGTTCTGAAGGATGCTCAGAAAATTTTGTGTGTTGAAAAGTGTTTTACCTTTACAGCTTCATTTAATCGGCCAAACCTTTATTATGAGGTATATAACTTTTATGTCAATTTTTTACTTTTGTGAAGAATTACTGCAAAAGTTATACCTTCTCATTATGTTTATTTGTGTAAGTTAACTATTAAAGTTTTTAACATCAGGTGATTATAAGGAGATTGATTAATTATTGCTTTATTTATATATCTGTTGTGCTGGATAATCCCTTGTTAGCTAAATAGAATACACTACCTTCCTGGGTGATATTGTCTTTTATAAAAGATATGAGCAAGTCAGATGTATTTGTTAAATTTATGTACATCCTTTCCTTGTGCGAGGCTTAGGAGAAAGGATGGAGTGATACCAAAGACCCCAGTGACATCTCTATTGAAATTAATTACTAAGTAATATAAATATTAATAGGCCATTAAAGATTTGCCAATACTCCCTATGTAGATTTAATATTTAGCCTTGAAAATAAAATAACCTAACAGCTCTCTTTTCTTTCTTTTAACGCTTTTAAGATAAATTTAATCTTTTTCCTAGTTTTCATTGAATAGTTGTTTATGCTGTGGCTTATGTTTTTATGAAAGTAGTATCAGAAAATAAAAAAGACCCCATCTTTACAAGTTATTCACTGCTTCTGTGCCTCCTCATCTCTGGTAAATTAAAAAATACAGATCAAAAAGAGAGTTGGCAGTGATGAGTCAGATAGGTTGAGTTCTATGAGGCAAGTGAAGAGTAATGGAAAAAACACTATGCCCATGGAAGAACTGCACTTTCAAAGGTGTAAGTAAACAGCTACTTAGATGGTACTTATTCATTTACTTTTTAGTAAGTTAGGTTTTTTTTTTTTAGGTTCGGCAGAAGCCCTCAAACACTGAAGATTTTATTGAGGATATTGTAAAGCTCATCAATGGGAGATACAAAGGGCAATCAGGTAATATAAAAACATATCAACTTTGGAGACTGAGAGATAACTTGTGTAGATATACCACATTACACCAATAATTATGCTGATAAATGACTAACACAAAAATATTAATGTATGGCAGGACAAGTAACTAATACAAAAATATTAATGTATGGCAGGACATACTTGAACGTGTTGTGATAAAATTAATTTACTTGCTAATCTTAGAAACAGGGTGTGACATTTGCTTATGTCACAATTAGAAGTCATAGAAATGTCTGATTTATTTTTGCTTATTTACACATTATTGCTTTAGAGTAGACCTACTCACAATGTTAATTATCGACAGCACGTATTTAGTAAGTATCCACTGTATACAAGATAGAGGGTTAAGCACTGATGTTCTAAAGGGATATAAAATATTGTCCCTTACAGTAAAGGACACATTAAGGAAATACACAGCACATATTGAATAGATCAAGTATAGTGGGAGTTGAGAGTATATAAGTGTTCCAGGATTAGTGACTAGACAAATGGTACGAAGCAGAGTTTAAGTAAAAGTAGCATTTTAAAACTGTTCTATATTTCAGGAGACAGTACTGGTGTCCTGGGTAAAAGGAGTTCCAGGGTCAAATAAGTTTGAGAAAGGCTGCAGCTGTTTATCCCTCCTGGAGATTCGCAGGGTGTATCAGCACATTAGAAGCTCTGACCAGCCCTGATAATAGAGAGAAGTCTGTTTAACTTTGTTGAATGCAGTGTTCCCAAACTCATTTGCACATGGAACTTTTTTCACAGCAAACTTGTTAACATCTTATGGAACTGTGGAACATCAGTTTGAAAAATGCTATGTAGTGGGAATTAAAGTTGGAGAGAGGGCCGGCCCGGTGGCGCACTGCTACAGTGCGCCGCTTGGGAGCGCGGCAGCGCTCCCGCCGAAGGTTCAGATCCCACATACAGACTGGCCTCTCACTGGCTGAGCGAGGTGCGGGAGCAACACCAAG